ATGAAGAAATTTAGTTGGTTGACAAGGAATATGTTGGTCACTGTACAGTGGGTGGGGAGATCAGCAAATACTTTGTCAGATGTGTTAGCTAAGCAAGGGGTAAATAAGGAATAATTGTTTTGGGCTCAGTTGTGATTCTTGCTTTTCTTTCCTAGTTTACTTGTAAGATTCAAGAAGGGGCTGCAGCTCGCGCCTCTCCCTAGGACGTTGTATGAAGTCACTCTAAATCTGCTTCTGAATTAATAAATTTATTATCATTCATCAAAAAAAAAAAAAAAACAAATTTATAAGTAGTTTTGGAACATGTAGAACATCAAAAAGGGCGAGTCCAAGAGGAAGGGAGATGGTTCCTTGACCAGCTATGGTGGAGAAAGAACCATCAGCAAGTCTCACCTTGTCCCGACCAGATAACAAATGATAAGATTGAAAACAATTATATTATAGGGAGAGTTCGCATCATGTCTCTCCTAGGCTCACTTGTAAAGTTGTAATTTTTGAACCTTTTGATATTAATAAATTATTCATTTATCAAAAAAAAAGCACAAAGGAAGGTTGTGACAGAATTACCATTACCTGATGTAGACGCAAGGGAAGGTTGTGACAGAATTACCATCTTAGCTATTGGACTTAGTTGTAATCTTTAACATCAGTAATCTGAAATGTTTTAATTATGTTATAAGGAGAGTTCGCATCATGCGTCTCTCCTAGGGTCACTTGTAATTTTTGAACCTTTTGATATTAATAAATTATTCATTTATCAAAAAAAAGACATTAAGAACTAGATGACAAGCCAATTGTAAGCAATTATCCAGAACCGTATGCCTAACTTCTTATTAGGAATAAGATTTTTACAGAGAAACAAACTAGTTAACAAGGTAATTTGGTTGCCATGAAAAATAGACAACCATAAAATAAGAGTCAGCAGCTTTCAAACAGTTTTTTTAATTAGAGAAAGAATTTTATAAAGGGTACACTACACAAAAGTTATTCATTTGTCAATCTACATAACCTAAATCCATAATCAAGTGAAGCTGTCTACATACAGACGTAATGCTAATTTATACTTGCATCCAATTATTTTTTTATCAATTACTTACATCCAGTGATCCAATGCCTGTAAAGGAATAGAGCCGTGTTGGAGTAACAGCCATCACATAATATCTGGTTGCGTTACTTGCACTAGCCGTTTCCATCTGTAGAAAATGCAGAATACAAGTAAACACATATTTTAATTTTTTTGATAAATAATTGAATTTTATTAAAAAACTTTATATAATATCTTTACGACCATCCCTTAGAGAGGCACAAGCTGCCACCTCTCATGCATAAAAAGAAATCGCATTACAAGTGTGCCTGAACAAATTAGACCTCTCCACCCCTTGCTTAGCCAAAGCATCCGCCATCCCATTTGCTGATCTCCTCACCCATTATATCTTCAAATTCATATTCCTGGTTAACCATGTAAATTTTTTCATTTTAGTCTGTTAGCACCAAATTATAGACTCTAGATTTTTTAGCCATTCTATCACCACTTCTGAGTCCCCTTCAATCACCACATTTGTCAAGTTTAGCTCACTAGCTATCTACACCCCTTGGATTGCAGCTAGCACTTCTGCTTTGAGTCACCCATACCCACAGGGCCAGCAAAAAGTGCTATAAATTTACCTTCTCCATCTCTCAAAACCCCTCCTATTCCAGAAGGGCAAGGATTACCTTAGTTGCTCCCATCAAAGTTCAGTTTAACAAAACCTTAAATTGGTGGAGCCCAAACAACCTCCATTCTGTCCTTTCTCTTAGAGATTTTAGCAACTGCTTCCCAATTCCTCCAAATATCATCAAAAGAAAACTTGAAAAACAACTCCAAAGTTTTGATCCAATGGCTCTAACCATCACATAAATCCTGATTTCTTCCTTCTCTCCTTTTCTAAGAATATTCTTGCATTCCTCTCTTCCCAGATGGTCCAAATCAAGGCTGCACTGACACATCTCCACATTATCCTCCCTATTTTCTTTGGCCAAGTAAATAAGGAGGGATCAAATAACATATTAACCTCTATTGGTAAAGTCCACCTGCACCCAAACAAAGAAAAAAACCAAAGCAAAATATCCGTAACAAAAGGGGCAAGAAAACAATAAATGAAGACAACTCTCATTACTAGATTTGCATAAGACACATAGGGAAGAGACAGGAATTAGGTCTTCTCTTTTGTAGAAAGTCCATAGTATTTATCTTCCTGTGAATTACTTCCCAGCAAAAAGCTCTTACTTTCAGTGGAAGGGTCTACACCAAAACTCTTTAAAGGGAAAGGAAGAAGTTAAGGAATCACGAAAGGTCTTGAAAAAAGAAGCATAAGAAAACAAACCCTTGGGGTTGGGGGCCCAAATACGCTTATCAGGTTTACCGAGGTCCAAGAAAAACTCCTGAGGGAGTTGGCACAAGCCAAAAGTTCGTTATCCCTAAGACCTCTACAGAAACCAAAGTCCCACCTAAGGCCCACTGAATGTATTGGAGGAACAACGAATCTTGACAAACACTCATTGTTGTACAAAGAAACCCAATATAAGGAGGGGAAAAGCTCCTTTAACAAACAAGAACCAACCCAAAGTATCGTCCCAGAATTTAATAGAAGCCCGAGAGCACACACCATACTTGACGAAACAAAGAAACAAGTGAATGTACCTTTTGGAAGAGTCCAATCTCTTTGATCAGAAGATGTGGGGTCCAAACAAACAGACTCTAGTAAATGAAGTAGCTCAGTGACACAAATTGGCTCACCATCCCTTAACCCTCTACGAAATCCGAAATCCCAGTTTAAATAATTAGAATCTTCCATGATGCATTTGTTTTTGTTCTAATAAATAATTAGAATCAAATCATGTAAACAATATAAACAATTTAATATTTTTATTATTAAGAAAACTATTTTATTTCATTCTAATAAGTAATTAGTTTAAGTAATATTTTTATTATTATATAAAATATCTCACTGTTTTTTGGTTTTTATGAATATTTTATCTCAAATATTAACTTTCTTATTATTTTTTCAGTTTTATTACTTTTATAACAAGGGTCTAAACTATCACCATATAAACTATTTATTAAATCATATAAACTAGATAAACCATTTAATATTTTATTATTATAAAATAATTTTATTCATGCAGTTTATTTTATTTTAATAATTTGTTAGTTTAATCATTTGTTTTTTATGAATGTTTTATATTTTATCTTAAAAATTAATTTTCTTATTACTTATTCATTTTTGTTGGCTTTTATAATGAGGGTCTACAATATTACTATAGACCTTCATATACTTGTAATATAAGACTATAAGAATATATTCAAGATTCTTTTTACAAGTTTTCTATTAGGAAATCCATGGTATTACAATAGACCCTATTGCATTGTAACATCCTTGTAGTTATGTTTCAAAGGTTCCATCTAAAGGCTTGCTTTTGTGGTGGTCTATAGACTTAGATAGACCATCATATACTGTAGCATGTCTTTTATAACATAAACTAAAACATTTTGGCTTAAGGGTTCATTGGTCATTCAAACACTCAACCTAAAACTTCGAATACTCTACAAAGACTTAAAGACGCACTGTGATTGTGCAAAGATTTTAGGAATCCAAAGATGAAGGCAAAGAAACATAAAAGGAAGATGAAGACATGCATTCTCCTCAACCTGGGCTGTTACGCTTGGAGGTCGCAGAGTTAGGACCGATCAAGGGGGACGATGATGGACCAATGTTACTATCCACCACCGCCCCAAAAGGCAAAGTCACACCTTTGCTAAACAAGGCACATGACTCACTTAAAATATGACCCAATTCAATTGATCTAATGGGCTGCTTTGGGCTTTTAACAGCCACTTCACCTTCTCCTCCCACATGACCATTTAAAAGGTCACATGTGGGGCCCTTGTTTACTGTAGCAGCTCGGTTTGAACACATGGGCCAAGCCTGGGCCTGTTTAACTTCCAGCCTGGTCCCTTCCTCTTTTGAAAATTGAACATCACACGCCACTTTGTTGTTTACTAAACCATTTGTCAGGGCCTGCAAAAAAAGACCTGCCATCTGTCTTCCTTCTATTCCCAATCTCCTACATTGGCCATTTGACTCTATTGCTTTTTGAGTCTTAAGCCAATGTTTAGCCCAAATAGTGTAGTCTTCCTTCTCTTGCATCCCACATAAGGCTGCTAATTCTGTCTCTTCGTCTTCCTCCTGTCTCCCCTACTTCCACAACTGCATTTCAATGGAGGTCACCAACCACATTAGATAAGAATAACCTTCGATTATCACTTCCACCCTTCTTGGGAAATAAGATTTAGTCCAGCCTTAAGCCATGAAATAAAGGAAATAAGATCATCCCACAGAACCTCCTAGTGTAGTATGGTCTAAATCTTTCAAAGCATCACCTTGATCATTTCTAAAAAGACCCACCTATAGATGAGCTACCAGGATTCAAACCATAAATGATGATTTGATAACCTTTAAACAAAGACTTGCTTATTTGATTGATAGCCTCCATTAAAAACAAATACTGTAAGAAATCCAAAACCAATAGGAAACTCAAGCCTCTGACATAAAAAAAAAAAGAAGAGAAAACAGAGAGRACAAATCTTGGCACATTTGCAAACAAAATGTCACCCCATTTGGACAATAATATCATAGACAGGTAGATATTGAATTGACCAGGTTGTAAGAAGTATTGTCAAGAATCTGTGATTCTTGGAATTAGGACAGTYCAGACCATAGCTCATAATTTTGATATCAATGAACATTTTGCCATGTAGAGTGGGAGAAATTCCGCAGATATTTTGCTAAATTCGCTAAGATATTTGGAAATCTAAAAAATTAGGAAAATTTTCTAGAAACATAGGATTGGTTAACAAACCTTCAAGAGATCATTAGAAGAAATATATTTGCACATTTAAGGCTCAAAAATCAAATAGGAAAAATTAAGAGACTGTAATAGGTATGTTTCTCTTTGCCTCCTTTTTGATCTTTAGCCATCTACTCTTCTTTATATATGTCAATTATTTGCCATTTTACGTTTTGTTTTTATTGTTATTATATATCTTGATTAGATTGAGGAATACCCTTTTGTAGCTATATTCAATTTTCTTTTTCTTCTGAGTTATAGTGACTTAGTAAGTGAATTATATTCAAGTGCTAAGCCAATTATTTAATCACCAATTCCTTGCTGATTCTTTTATGAAAATATTTTTAAAAATATTGAAATATTGAAAAGTTCTTAAAAAATATTCTAAATTTTAAATATATAGTCCATCAATGAAATCTGAAATATCACTAACATATTGGCAAAACATTGGGGATATTTGAAAAAAAAAATCCTGGAAGATTTTGTATCGCCACCTAGCAAATGGGACTTTCAGGGATATATCACCAAATATCATTGATAGTGCAAACCTTTTTTTGAAGATAAATAAAGAAGAAAATTTATTAATGAAACAAAAAAGGAGGATACAAACTGGTGATAAGACATCACCCAACCAGGAAAACAACATATCAGCTTAACCCCTTGTACCTAAAAACAGCCCTGAAAATAAATTACATTTTGAGGTACCCAACCCAACCAAAGCTGAAAACCCGAGAAAATATAACATACCCTTCCATTGAAACTCATACAAGCAAGCAAAACTGATATAACTCCCACCTAACCTTGTATCTCAACCTTAAAACAAAAACACCTACCCTGAACCCAGAAACCTATTCGATGGGATTTAAACACCATGTTTTACCCAATTCCTCATTAGTGCAAATCATGGTCCAGACAACATCATTCAGTTGCTTTTGATTTTAAGGCAATGACAAGTTGACAACAGACAAAGAATTTCACAATCTTCAATTTATGAGTCACTAATAATCAATAGTACCTGTAAACCTGTGAAGGCTTCTGGAAGCTCAGCTAGTTCAAATAACAATTTTATATATTTCTCTTTCTTATCCTTCTCATCAACAGCAATCTCATAAAGCTGGCCATTATCAGTACCAATGATGACTTCCCGTGTAGAAGCTGCTTTAATAGACATCAGAGAAAACTTATTCAATGAACACAAGGTTCATCCAAATTAGTTTATTAAAAAATCTACCAAAAAAATTAAAGTAAAGCAAAGATGGGAGCAAAATGCCAAGAAGTTGCAATGACCTTCTGTTATCTGTTGTCTGTTCCAAGCAACAGCTTTCACCACAAGACCTTTCAATTTGTTCAAAATGCGGGGTTTGCTCCACTTTGCATGTGTATAATATGTTTCTACACCTCCACTGCTAAGAACAGTAGCTATACAGTGGATCCCTCCAGGATCAACAAACACTGTATGGACAGGTTGCTCCCCACCTTTACCAGCAGAGAGATCAATATCTGCAATTAGATGAATTAAGAATATGTTAGCCATTTTTTATTTATATAATAGAACATACTAGAATGAATAAGAAAAGAACAAGATTAAGCAATTGTGCATACCAATAACATGTTCAAAAAGGAAACCAAGATCTAACTTGCACATCGGAGGGAAGCTTGCATTGCCCTTTTTATCAGTTTATGTTGCCCATTTTTTAATAGATAGCAATGAAGGTTTAGTTAGGGAAAAGGAAATAATTCGTATAAAAGATACATACAATGAACTCAAAATCAAGAATCTGATCTAAGCTATAATGGACCAATGGAAGCAAGATACAACAGTGATCTTCCCAGTCTCACCCCACTCCCCACCCCTTCTTGCAAGACCATTCATCCTTCCATTGGCCAATCTTTTTTTCATTTTAAGGAAACAAGCGATTATATAAAGAAATAAGTAACTACAGGGATTTAATAAAAGAATATACATGTAACCAGAAAAGGACAAATACAATGAGACCAATATCATAGCACCTCAAGAAGGAAATGAAAACACCAAAACCTCACAATCTCATTCCACTGTGTATCAACATCTATCCAACAGAGATCCTCAACTGTTTCAAAATCAAAACCAACCCAATTCTAAGGTTGATACTCCATAGATCATATATCCCAACAAGTTATCAGGAGAGGCCTTAACATGTGTTCAAGGAATCTTCTATTTCTCTCCTTCCAAGTACACAACAAAATTCTAAGGTTGATACTCCATAGGATTCAACTATTTTTGTAATTAAGAAACAGCAAAAAGTCCTCCCCCCGCCCCTTCCACAGAATTTGGAATGATGGGGACAGTACAAAGACAACCAAAGGTTGACAAACAACCAGCCACTACTAGAAACTGGGGTAGATTTACAAGTTCAGCCTTTTGCCCTTGATGAGAGCCATCTGACTACCACTTGATAGCCTCCGACAATCAAATCAGCCCAGCTTAAGCACACAGAGTAGGACAAGAAGTTTTGCCAACAAAGAAATGCCTTCCCTACTAGACCTCACTCCTCAGTAGCTTAGCGAAATAGACATCACATGGTCTCTAAAGGCACCACTAAATCCTATAGAACATGGGTTACCATGAAAGCAACTGTCAAAATTTAGTTTTATTCTTTACAGTTTAGTGCCACCAAGTATAGCATCACCTGTTATTCTCTAGGAGAATAACCAGCAAATAACCACCTTCCTAGTTGTCAAGCCGACACCTAGGCAATAAGGCACTCATGGAGTGTTGCCTCACATTTTTTTTGAATAAGGTAAAGTATTGTATTGCAGAGAGAAACCAGATACATCAGCCCATGTACAATGAGGACCTGTACAATGAGAATTTACAAAAAGATCTTAGAAATCAAATAAAGAATGGTCCAGCTTGCAAAAAAGAAAAAAGCTGAACTCCAGTGAAATCTATTTGTACACTTAACCAGGAACATAAAAAGCCTACAACTTCGTTTTTTATTGAAACAATGTCATTGGAAAGGTTGTCAAAAACTCAGCTGTTCCTTTCCTTCCAAAGGGCCCAAAGGATAGCAGATGGGAAAAGAATGGTCCACCCCTGAAGAAGCTGTACGACAGAAGCAGGAGGGCAAGAGGAGACACAAAAACAGGAGAGAATCATATCCCAGAGCTGCTGAGAGAAGTTGCAGTGAATAAAAATGTGGCTGGAAGATTCAGGAGCTTCATTGCAGAAGGGACAGAAGATAGTAGGAGGCTGCATCCCCCTTCTGAGTAGCCGATCTTTGGTTAGGCACTTATCAAGTGCTGCAGTCCAAACAAAGAAGGCTACTTTTACACAGTGCTCTTGAATACTTTTATATTCTTAACATTTTGAGATTATAATAATAAAATAGACATTAGTAAATTAAATTACTCAGCTTACGTTAAAATATTAGTTTCTTTTTATTATTTTTCTCATTTGTTAGGGTTCGATCAACATGTATACTGCCTTGAATCCTCAAAGACTTCAAAATTTAAACTGATAAGCATGGAAGAAGTCAAAATTTTATCTAAACAACACATATTGATTAGTTTCATCATCATCACCATATTAAAATTTATAAATTTATGCATGATATATATCTTACAATTTTTATATACTTTTATAACTATTAGTTAATATGTTAATTTATATTAAATAGCATTATATTTATCATTTATAAAAAAATAGACAAATTGTTTACAAAATATTCAAGAATATAATATTAAATTGAGGGGATGCACGAGAAAATTCAGGTAAACATCTAAGGTTGATATAAAACTAGCTAAAGTTGTGAAAGCCAAGCCAAAGTACTCAAAAGATTTCTAGAGCGAAAGGTAAAGGTGGGAAGGGGAAGAACTCTGCAAATTAATGCTTGGGTGTTGGCTTGTAAGTTTTGATTTGCTGGTGGTTTTCAGCCAGAATGTTCTTGTTGAGTGATTTTGTCTTGGTAGACATCTTTCAAAAATGAACCATTGGTATTAGTTATAATTCTGGTTTTCTTTGGTTGGTCATGATGGCAGCCATGCAGGATTGTTTTTGTTTAAAGCAGTGGCAATTAGTGCTTATTGGTTTTTGCTCCTTTTGTTCTTGCTATGATCTTCATTATTGGGGGTTTTATGTAAAACACCTCATGTTAAGGCTTGGATTTGTCAAGGTGGCTTATTTTTTAGATTTAGCCATTAGGTAGAGATCATCCAAATCCAATATCTGATGTTATGGTAGATGTCATGCCACAGCCCATACATAGATAGCCATTTCTAAATAGGCATATTGATAGCTTATGCCAGAGGCAGAGACAAACAGACATGAGAGGAGAAACACTAGTGTCATTGTTTGTTCTAGGGGCACACTTTTTCAAACAAGTAAATAATTAGATCAAAGGCGACATAACTTCTGTATAGAATCCAGTAAAAGGCATAGACTACAAAGACAAAATTACCATAAGAGTTTCCACTTCCAAAGTCATGTCTAATGACCCATCCTTTACTCGTTCCCAACAAAATGACATCATTCCCAGCAGCCATGCAAGTTATAGTTCCCCGCCCCTTAGTTGCATATCGTTCAAGGAGGTCCACGGAAAAAACATGTCTTGCAGCATCCATCTTTGAAGTCAAGATATATCAATCCTAGTAGACAAAAAGAAACATCGCTAAGTTGGACCGCAAGCATGAAATGGCTGAAATACTAAAGATTCATCAAGTTGAAAGCTGCAAAGTGTGTAATCACAAAATTAGAGTCTCACTGGAGATAACAGTAAAGAAGCTAACACCAGGCTTTAGTGAGAAATACAAACAGAACCTTACAATTACACATCAAAACAAGATATTCAATTTTCCATTTGAAAACTAAAAACTTCCCCAAGGACCTCACTAGAACTTATCTAGACTCTGGAAATACACAGACCCAATCCTCAACAGATTTGTTAACAGCCACCACCATCCTTTCCAGCTTACAAGCTTTGTGTTCAAAAATCCTTCTATTTCTTTCCTTCCATACGTTCCAGCAAATTGCAGATGGTATGCGCCTCCAAACYATCCTTGCTTTCTTCCTTCCTCTTATCTTTGGCCATAATGAAAATATTTCTACAGGTATCACACCCCTTTCTTCTCTCCAACCTTTTTAAAGACTCTTGGGTCAGATGACCACCAACTCTCCCTAGAGACACACTGCATTCACTTCCACCCACTCCACATCCTCAGACCCTATCTCCTTCTTCATACTTATATCAAATGACTCCAGTTTCATTTCCTGCAACAGCACCACATCTGGATTTTGTTTTCTCAAGATATTCCTTACTACCTATGAGCGTCAGAAAAAACCGGCTCACTTGCCACTTGGGCTGGAAATGGAATCGCCACCCATCAAGTAGATGAAAAGGAGGTGATGGGACCTCCGGGATTTACATTGGCAAGCGTTTTTTATTTATTAGTGACTCCAAAGCCCGAGGCACCGAGCCACCGACTAACCAGCCTGGGTAAGACTTGGATGGGAGAGGAAAGGGGTTAGGCACCCCTCTCCCAAGGGAAAAACTTTAGCTGTTCGAGGCCAACAGCCTATGTTGTTGAGAGAATTTTGGAAATGCCACGTTACCATGAGAATGGGTAAATTAGTAATTACATCTTAATTTCTTTTGACTAAAAACCAAAGCATGGGCGTGAATAGGTGAGTTGCCCATCTTAATTTCTAGCTCCTCTCCCTGTGCTTTCCTAGTTAAGGAAGTTTGGTCTAGGCCTATTCCCCCAAAGATAACTGTGTTTTGTTGGTAAGTTTTCTACAGTAAAATCAATACGATGAATAACCTGCAGAAGAAAAGACCCTTCTTATGTTTATCCCCTAACTGGTGTATTTTGTGCAAAGTGCAGTTTGAGGACTGTTTTTTTTTATGAATAAGTTTGAGGACTGTTACCACTTATTGATTTCTTGTCCTTTTGCTGCAGCCATTTGAAACTGGGTTTTTGACTTGTTTGAGTGCAGGTGGAACTTGCCAGTTGAGGTAAATTTGCTGTTCTCCCCTTCTACCTTCATGTGGACCACAAAAAGAGGGAGAATTATGTTGAAGTGTATAAGAGCAGCTCTCCTTTAAACTGTAGAGAACACTGATGTGGACCCCACTGCTGTGGTCCCCACTGTGTTCGTATGGCAGCATAGCATATGTTTTGTTAATTATGTCAGTGTTAGTTGGTAGTTATTTCAGTTTGTTGTTACAGCTTGTTATTTCAGCTTTATTATTAGTTTATTTGCAGCTTTATTATTAGTTTATTTGCCATGTAA